ATCAAGTTGTTTAGGAATGCAGAAAACATTTTTTACTTTAGTTTTTTCAGCTCTTTTTTGCATAAACATTCCAATTCCATTTTTATTGACATTATAAATTAATGTATACGGCGGGTACGCGCATCACACATAGATCAGGGGCGCTATCTTCGTTTCGCCGCCCGTGTTTTACTGCACCCTGGACAGATTTAGAAAAGAAGACGCGAGCTCAAAGACGACGTGAAAATGACGTGTACACCTCGCGTTCACTTCCGGGTTTTAATCTGGGACGGCTTGTTTATCTTTTTCGAAGCAAATTTTTGTTTTCTTGTTCCCTGCTCATTCCTGTATTGTTTTCAATCAGTTGTCAAGTTATGTGCAAGAAAAGGCTATATAATACTGGGCAAGTGTTTCCTGATGAATTAGTATGAACATTTAATAAGTAGAAAAAGACGTATATTTCGGTATTTTGAAAAGTGAACTTTGTTGCATCATTTGGAATAAATACTACAGCTGCAGGTATTGTTTACGAGCTAAATGCTTTACTTTGTAGCCTATTCAATCAAGTTTGTCAACTGTTTAGTATAAATAAGGCATCAGTGCTTATATTGATAAAATTTAGTACTGTTTAAGATAGTTTTTCACGCTGGAAAGCGTTTTTTTACTTCCCCCACTTTTTCACACTGTTGTGACAGAGCAACTAAAATTGATTGAGTTTTTACTGCTTTTAATTGCTTTTATTCTTCTATCTTCCCAAGTTTTCCTGATTTTAAACAGTTTTTAATATAACTTCACTTCATTTTGTTCTAAAATGTTTGTTTTGGTGAAGAATACTAGCGGTATTGAAGTGGTTATTTAAAATGCTTGCAGTTTTGTTGATTTGTTATGGCTACCGAAAGTATTTGTCAAAAATTAACACGTTCAAAATTTAGCGAAATACAAGAAAAACAACCTTGTCAATGAAAAACCTTTAACTAGAAACATTAAACAATACTTGGGGAACAAAATAGGATGATTTTTATCATGCATGCTCTCATATCTTTTTCAAAAGAAGCATATAAATCTGTGACGTTCTAGAGAGGACGTGAAAATTGAATTTTCGCGTCGTGAAATTGTCCAAGACGACGTGGCAAATCAGAAGCTGACGATAGTTGGCGCCAAATGACGCCATCCACGTCGTCTTTGAGGTCGCGTCGTCTTTTCTAAATCTGTCTATTGTTTACAGCTGTTGACTATGCATACTTTCTTTTGTGAATTATTTGGTTGAACTAGTCGGCTATAACAATTACAATAGCCCGCCGACGGTATACAAGATGTCCCAAAAACCCCCAAAAATTATTGAAATAACGTATTGTTAGAATTTGAATGTCCTAGCACTAAGCTGAACACAAAGATGCGTAAAATATTGAGAGTGCATATATTGAATATTGACTGATTGAAAGAAACTAAAATATCTTCGTAAAGCTCAAGATTTTCTGCTCTTGGTAATTTAAAGCAGCTTCTTAATTAAACAATTTCTTTATGCATAAAATTTACCTATGTCAAGCTTTTATCACTTGTTGGTTCAGCAGTGTGCTGCATGAGTTCGGTTTTTATAGGACACCCTGTATGTGAATCAGGCTTTTACTTTTAAGCCATTTAAAACCGATTCTCAGTCCGTGTTTTATCAGATATAAAACACTGGAGTTGCGCTCTCGTCTTTTATATTTTGTAAAGCACTCGCATGTGTGTGTTATAGTGAAAATACAAAAAGTGTCCCACTTCCGCTTATCTGTAGTTTGTTGTGATTTACCAGGGCATATATAACAACTATATAACTACTGGGGCATTTACCCCAGTAGCCCCTTTGTTTGCCCCTGTAGTGAAGCAAGATTCTCAATTGAACTGGGCCCTTTGGATCATTAATAAAAAGTCAACCTTGTTGAAAACCTGCATCTGCCTGCTTTCTCATATCCTCTCACATTCTCGACATTCCATCTTATAAAGTCAGAACAATCAAGGGTGGTTCTAGGTGGGTGGTGGATGGGTGTGGGTGTTGGAACACCGCCGGTCGTTAGGTAGTCGGCAAATTATCTAATCCCAGTTGGATAGGAAGGAAGGAAACTAAAATATTTGAGTGACATTGATTAAAAACTATTATTTATTACAAATTTCACCATTAAAACTTTGTTTTGCACAGCGGACCAATCTCGCAAGGGTGAGTATAGTAATGTATATTATATTATTGTAAAAGTATGCCATAAAATATAAATTTTAAAATGAAATTGACTTGCCTATTTGATAGTGTGTATTGTCCTTTTATTCCTCTTTTGTTGGACTAATATTTTGGGCCGCCTGTGTTTTGAGAAGCTGAGATTTTTTTAAAATGTGTTCTCAGAATGCAGGAAATGCCATTTCAGAGACCCAAAGTTTAAAATTTTCCTGGGGATCATGCCCGCAGACCCCCCGGACGGCCTAGCTAACTCGTGCCTGCGGTACTCTGCTCATACCTTCGGCGATCGCATACTATCCTGAGGGGAGGGCAAGGGAAATGGGCCTTTTGGCAGTTTTGCCCCACCACTAAAAAATCCTTAAAAAATGCACTGTGATTTACTGTAATTTGTTTTGTTTTTCTGTAACGATTACCGATTTATCGAGAAATACTGCAATAAATTTTAAATTTCGTAGGCTACCTTTTATGCAATGAAACTAACGAAAAATGTATTATTTCGCTTTGTTACAAATTATAATATTTAAAATAGAGAAAACTAAGTTTTATCACGGTATTTGCCGATAAATTGGTGATCGCTACAGAAAAACAGTACAATTTACAGTAAATCACAACAATCTACAGAAGCGGAAGTGGGACACTTTTTGTATTTTTACTGTAAATAGTACATACCGCACTCTCGTGCACTGCACAGTTGTGGTCTTGTGATAGTTTGAAGTAATGTTTGTGCATGGTCTTTAATATAGTGATACAGTGTATCATTGTTGTGCAGCTAAAAGCATTGAATAATCTTTTTGTCTAAAAATAATTATTGGCTGATATTGTGGCCTAGTGAAAAGGTTACAAAAATGGGGACAAGTTCCCATACTATCGTCGTTCTGATGTCACATATATTAGAGTAACAGTAGGATAGTAATATTAAGAAATAGTTTAATTATGGTTAGATTCTCATGTTTGGCGCACAATATGGACAGGGTTATTAAATATAGGGATGGGTTGCGGTTAAGATCAAAGAAATATATTTGTGACCGAAACAAGGATTTATTGATAATAATTACAGTAATGACGTCACAACGATTAAGTTGGTGTTGAGCTTACAGTTACGATGGGTTAGGAGCTTACGATGGTATTTAAACTGGGGTTGTCAATATGAAAAGATAAGGCTGTTTTTGATATATCGTCAAATTAAGTAGCAAGTCAGCATTTAATACTGACAAGTATACTAGTATATGCATCATATAAGGCCGGTTTACACGACCAGTGTTTTGGGCACGGCACCCCTAAAAATGGGCACCCGTGCCCAAAATTTTAGGCACGGCACCTCTGCCTTTTGGCGTGTAAACGTGACAAAAATCGGCATCGGTGCCGCAAAATTTAAACGTGCCGAGACTTTCTCACGAGGTAGTCTCGGCACGTCTAGCAAGGGGTGCCGTGCCCAAATTTCGAAAAAAGCTAAAAAATGTGTTCGACATCTAGCATGTGCAAAACAAATTGTCCTCTTTCCAACATGGCAGCAAGCGGCGAAAAACTACAACTTGCCAAAAATTAAAAAAAAACAAAGTTAAAAAACAAATTTAACACAGAATGTGAATGTTGCTCTAGTTGACTCGGAAATTTTGATACCACTGTTCGTCGCTGAATAGAGCAGTAACTAGAGGCCGGTTTACACGACAAGCGTTTTGGGCACGGCACCCCTGAAAATGGGCACCGTGCCAAAACCGCCACTTCGCTATTTACTCGTTTACACGACAACTTTTTGTAAACACACTTTTATGATAGGCACCGTGCCCATCGGAAAACGGCACCTCTACTTTCCGTTTACGACGGTATATTTTAAAGAATAAATATGTCGGACAGAAATAGAATTATATATTTATATTTATTGGAACGAAGAAGAGTATTATATGAGCCGAAAATCGAGGGAAAAAAACAATTCAATACTAGAAAAGAACCAGCTCATATGGGCAAAAGTTATCCCGGTTAGCGAGAAAACTTTTCGACAAGTTTACAAACGAGATCTTGCCTTGGTATGAAAATAATATGAAAAGTTACACTGCGTTCATATGAGACAAAAAGTTTTCCCGTGTACCGAGATCTCGCTTGTTGACAAGCCAGATCTCGGTGACCGGGATAATGTTTTTCCCATATGCATGAACACAACTTTACCGCTTAGCGGGATAACTTTCTGTCGTATCAACATCTTTTCAATTCAATTGATATTCAGTGCGTGCCCATCGGAAAACGGCACCTCTATTTTCCGTTTACGACGGTATATTTTAAAGAATAAATATGCCGGCCAGAAATAGAATGATATATATATAGGTTATCATATAAGGGATGAGGTGATATCAGTTTTATCGCTCGAGGGATGATATCACAATTGTCACGAGCGAGCGCAGCGAGCGAGGGACAATTGTGATATCGTCCCGAGAGCGATAAAACTGATATCACCGAATCCCGAGTACGATAACCTATTTATTATATACTTGTATACCTTTATCAGGGTTTGACAACCAAAAGTAAACAGTTTTGAAAAAATAGAATTCAAAACAATTCATCATTTACTGAACAAATATGATTTTAGAAAATAAATAGACCATTCAAATAAATAATATACAATTTAAGTCTTTCATTTTGTATTATCGTTGTGTTTTCTTCGATAAACTGTTGACATCAACCAACACGAACCTCGAGTCGGCCATCTTTGTTTTGACAACGCGCGAAATTTAGCGGGACAAAAAACAATATCCGGGACAAAAAACGATATCCGGGACAAAAAACGATATCCGGGACAAAAAACGATATCCGGGACGATATCGTTTTTATGTCCCGCTGCTTCCTACCTGATAAAGGTACAAGTATGTGATAATTATATTTATTGGAACGAAGAAGAATATTACTATATGAGCCGAAAATCGAGGGAAAAACCAATTCAATACTAGGAACGTACTTTAAGGGCCAGTTCATATGGGCAAAAGTTATCCTGGTTAGTGAAAAAACTTTTCGAAAAGTTTACAAGCGAGATCTCGCCTTGGTATGAAAATAATATGAAAAGTTAGTTTACACTGCGTTCATATAAGACAAAACTCCCGTGTACGTACCGAGATCTCGCTTGTCAAGTGATAATGTTTTCCCCATATGAACACAACTCTAGTTCCCGCTTGGCAGGATAGCTTTCTGTCGTGTCAGTTACTTTTCAGTTCAATTGATATTCAGTGCTATGTCACAGCCGGAAACTTTACCCGGTAAGCGGAATAACGTTTCTCCATGCATGTGAACAGAACAAAAGTATATTTGGCTAGCTAGTCGAAAAGTTTTCTCGTTAACCGGGATAACCTTTGCCCATATGAACAGGCCCTTAAAGACGAAAGGAGTTGTTTTCTCGCATAAATGTTGTGCCATCTTGTATTCACCCGCCACGAATTCGAGAGGTATGGACGCATCGAACGACAGCTATTTGCTACGACCTAGTTACTGCTCTATTCAGCGACGAACAGTGGTATCAAAATTTCCGAGTCAACTAGAGCAACATTCACATTCTGTGTTAAATTTGTTTTTTAACTTTGTTTTTTTTAATTTTTGGCAAGTTGTAGTTTTTCGCCGCTTGCTGCCATGTTGGAAAGAGGACAATTTGTTTTGCGCATGCTCGATGTCGAACACATTTTTTATATTTTTCGAAATTTGGGCACGGCACCGCTTGCTAGACGTGCCGAGACTACCTCGTGAGAAAGTCTCGGCACGTTTAAATTTTGCGGCACCGGTGCCGATTTTTGTCACGTTTACACGCCAAAAGGCAGAGGTGACGTGCCTAAAATTTGGGCACGGGTGCCCATTTTTAGGGGTGCCGTTTTCGACTAGCCAAATATACTTTTGTTCTGTTCACATGCATGGAGAAACGTTATTCCGCTTACCGGGTAAAGTTTCCGGCTGTGACATAGCACTGAATATCAACTGAATTGAAAAGTTACTGACACGACAGAAAGCTATCCTGCCCAGCGGGAACTAGAGTTGTGTTCATATGGGAAAAACATTATCACCTGACAAGCGAGATCTCGGTACGTACACGGGAAAACGTTTTGTCTTATATGAACGCAGTGTAAACTAACTTTTCATATTATTTTCATACCAAGGCGAGATCTCGCTTGTAAACATTTCGAAAAGTTTTTTCACTAACCAGGATAACTTTTGCCCATATGAACTGGCCCTTAAAGTACGTTCCTAGTATTGAATTGGTTTTCCCCTCGATTTTCGGCTCATATAATATTCTTTTTCGTTCCAATAAATATAAATATATAATTCTATTTCTGGCCGGCATATTTATTCTTTAAAATATACCGTCGTAAATGGAAAATAGAGGTGCCGTTTTCCGATGGGCACGCACTGAGTATCAATTGAATTGAAAGATGCTGATACGACAGGAAGTTATCCCGCTAAGCGGAAAAGTTGTGTTCATGCATATGGGAAAAACATTATCCCGGTCACCGAGATCTTGCTTGTCAACAAGCGAGATCTCGGTACACGGGAAAACTTTTTGTCTCATATGAACGCAGTGTAACTTTTCATATTATTTTCATACCAAGGCAAGATCTCGTTTGTAAACTTGTCGAAAAGTTTTCTCGCTAACCGGGATAACTTTTGCCCATATGAGCTGGTTCTTTTCTAGTATTGAATTGTTTTTTTCCCTCGATTGTCGGCTCATATAATACTCTTCTTCGTTCCAATAAATATAAATATATAATTCTATTTCTGTCCGACATATTTATTCTTTAAAATGTACCGTCGTAAACGGAAAGTAGAGGTGCCCTTTTCCGATGGGCACGGTGCCTATCATAAAAGTGTGTTTACAAAATGTTGTCGTGTAAACGAGTAAATAGCGAAGTGGCGGTTTCGGCACGGTGCCCATTTTCAGGGGTGCCGTGCCCAAAACGCTTGTCGTGTAAACCGGCCTATAGCTTTATCATAACTTAATACATAAGACATCATAATAACTTTAACGAGCGTTGTGGCAGACTTTGCGAGCTAAAATGAATAAATTAGTAGGCTAAAAGTAGCTTTTATATAGCCTGCTGAATTTCAAAATTCTCCCATTTTCTGCCGGTAGTCTTTGTTAGCTGCAATGTTTTTAGCTTGGC